TACGCGCTTTCCGCATTGCATAGCTGCAAAAAGCTGTGAATCATAAATTTCGATGTTTTTCATATGTCTGGTCGCTTGAGCGTAAGTGTGCTCGAGGGGAATTCTTATGATATCATGGTAAACTCCTGTATGTGTAGGCGCATTTAACCAATAAATGCCCGAAGCAGCGCACTTCAAAAATCCGTAATTGCTCTTGCACTTCCCTTTTTCTAATAAATAGGCAAAGTACAAACGAAACGGCCTGTGGACTCCTAGCAAAACGCGAGTAGAGCAGAATATTTTTCAGGTCTGCATACGAATTTAATGCTTATGGCAGTGATAAGTCCTGGCCCAGATACCTCGAAACATGAGGACAAGAATCTCGTACGGTCCAGAACATTTCCCGGTACTGGTGAACTTGATATGCTTGTTGGATTTTTCGTCATGAACGGTGCTTGCATTGGTAAGCATTGCTAAATGAATTACAAACAATAGTACTACTGTCTGCAAAGTATTTAGATTAGATGTGAGGTTTAGATCAAGCATTTCGGAGATCCCTGCTCATTCTGATTGTCAAATCAGTGAAATTCTCATGCATTCAAAAACAGTTAAAATCTGTCACATTTTGCGCTGCTTATTCCCAATCAGCTTTTGAAAACTTTCAGGCAATTTGGCCGTAAAATTTGCTCCTTAGTGATAACCTCCATGTGTTCTGTAAAGGTTTCTTTGGTGCTTTCTTACCTAGCATTAATTTCCTCTGTTCGCTTAATATGTGTTTGCTTATCACACCTATCAACTACAGTTTTAGTTTAGGATACTGCCCCTTCCCTCACCCCTTTTTCGCCGCTTGCCTGCTTTTCGCAGCATTTGTGAATCGGATTAGTACAGTCCTGAATATTGTCCTGGATATCCGGATCTGCACTAGTCTCTGGTCTAGCTTCGGATTCAAAAACCTTGTATATGATCATCTGAAATTTTGTAGCTGAAGGCGGAATTTATGGTTCTAGTCCATTCGTGCTTGAACAGGATGCCTGTTCACATTCATTACTGAAGTTACGGCCTATTGAGTTCGATTATTTCACAAATAACTTTTCGTTGCAGCTTTCTTTCTTCTCTTCGGCTCATGTGTCATAAGCAGTTGCATGAGGAAGCTGCGATGTTGCTGCTGTCTCGGCTTTCGCAAACAATCAACTGCCGTTATTCCACAACAGAGCAAATCTGTCGCCACTTCGAATTTAACAATTAGAAGAAATTCAAGATTTCAAGTAGCTTCCATTCGATCCTTGAAGATTTTTCCAAGCTTTCAGTAAAATCAAATAGGCAGCTGAATTTACTTCCACTTGCTTACTCAATTACTGTGGGCATAACAAAGCTGGTTATGCATTTTTATGCGTTTTTGCATATATGCAAATTGCAAAAACGCATATTGGGAAGAGGCTGTCT